GATGTGACTCGCTATCATTCCCTACATCATGAGTCACTTCCTGAATCACTGGACTGTCAGGATATTTGCCCAGGAAATGACATCATGCCAAAGGTATGCCCACACACTTGTGGTCGAGCAATTGTTAGTGAGGACAGATAACTATGTTATCCCTGGAAAATCTTACAAAGTAAGTTTCTAAACACTAGCTAAAATCACTGCATGCTACATCTGTTTGCAATGTTGTGTATCTGACCAAACAAATGTTAAAACAAAATGTCACTTATAGTCTCCATGTACTGATAGACGAGAGAAATACGCTGGACCTGTTTTAAAGACCTGACGTGAAGATCCGTTTTTACATATTTTCCTACTGAAACAATAGTGACTCAAAAAACTGATACTACTCTCATGAACAAGATGCTATTCATAGTACTATAACTAAAAGTGTATTTTCTCACCTTTTTCAAAACCACCACATTTTTTTTTTTTAAATGATCTAAAGTGACAGAAATTTAAGTCACAAATGATTTTCATTTCAAATAACATTGATAAGAAACATTTCTGATTATTGAGCAGTAAATCAGCATATTAGAATGATTTCTGAAGGACCATGTGACACTGAAGACTGGAGTAATGATGCTGAAAATACAGATTTACATCACAGCAATAAATTACATTTTACAATATATTCAAACAGAAAACTGATATTTTTGATTGCAATAATATTTCACTTTTTTTTTTCTTCCGTTTTTACATATTTTCCTACTGAAACAATAGTGACTCAAAAAACTGATACTACTCTCATGAACAAGATGCTATTCATAGTACTATAACTAAAAGTGTATTTTCTCACCTTTTTCAAAACCACCACATTTTTTTTTTTTTTAAATGATCTAAAGTGACAGAAATTTAAGTCACAAATGATTTTAATTTCAAATAACATTGATAAGAAACATTTCTGATTATTGAGCAGTAAATCAGCATATTAGAATGATTTCTGAAGGACCATGTGACACTGAAGACTGGAGTAATGATGCTGAAAACACAGATTTAACCACATTTTTTTTTTTTTTAAATGATCTAAAGTGACAGAAATTTAAGTCACAAATGATTTTAATTTCAAATAACATTGATAAGAAACATTTCTGATTATTGAGCAGTAAATCAGCATATTAGAATGATTTCTGAAGGACCATGTGACACTGAAGACTGGAGTAATGATGCTGAAAATACAGATTTACATCACAGCAATAAATTACATTTTACAATATATTCAAACAGAAAACTGATATTTTTGATTGCAATAATATTTCACTTTTTTTTTCCCTTTCTCTGTATTTTGATCAAACAAATGCAGCCTTGGTGAGCAGAAGAGACTTTCAAAAATATATATAAAAAATATTAATAATTAAGTAATAGTAAACAACATTTGTGTTTCATCTTAGTTGTTAAACACAAGGATGACATCAAGGCCATGCTGGATTTAAATAATGCAAGTATTAAAATCGAACCAAATCCAGACCTAACCAGAAGCAGAATTTAAACCACATGTGTATGTGTGTGTGTGTTGTACCTGGTGGGTTGTTCCTCCGATGGGCATGAGGGTCGTCAGGTTCAGCAAAGATACTGGAGGCCATCTTGTTTTTGCGCACAGGCTTCTCATCATCTGCGCCGAAGGAAATATTAGAGGCTCCGCCAGGGGGACACAACACCCTATGAGACATGGGCCAGAAGAATGATGCCCAACAGATCAATTACACATATTACAAAAATGAACAGCACATATTGCATGAAGGACACATAGTAGGACTTTATGATGCATGTACCATGCAACGGTAGAAGTACGTCAAAAGAAGAGATTGAAATCCATGGTAACAGTAGAAATGACCATTTTACATTGTTTACATGTGAGAACAAGGAAGCAACATGAAAAAAATTCAAAGCAGCACACGTCATAAGTCACAAGTTTAGTCATTTATGATTGACAAACAATCATGCTGTTGGTGCATTCATATAGAACTTAGCCTAGTTTAACAGTTTGTTTTTTCTTCTGATAGTGTTTCCTTTGCTTTTTAGTCAATGGAGTCTTACAAAAATCATATTATTAGTTTTACAAAATGACCTTTTTTAATAAATAAAGCATTTTGCACGCTCAATGAAAAAAACATTGAATATGCAAAATACATACATTTATGGATTTGGCAGATACTTTTATCCAAAGTGACTTCATCAGTTCATGCAAGCACTGGAAATCGAACCCATGACCTTTGCATTGCTCAACAGTTTGAGCTACAGGAATACGCATTACCACATCTTTAATAAAATATGCACAATACTGAGAGCAAGAATATCTATGCTGTGATGTAAATTTGTTATGGTGATATAAAGTGACTCATACAACGAATGACTTGGGTCATATCGCCCACCCCTAAACTGAAAGACACACACACACAGAGCTGACCAGACCAGAGCTCATCTGCTCACACACCAAGTGCAGATTCCAGTGTTGGATGGTTTTCATTCAGCACATATGTTGATTCATTAAAAAGACACGAGGGCGGGTGTGGACAAACCCCGGATGAAAAGCCGCAGACCTGTGATTGATGCGGTCGAGGGAAGCCCTAATCAATGCTTTTGAAAAGAGCAGTGCTGATCTCAACACCCCTCCCTCCCGCGCAGAACGAGACCAGCTGACACCCGCCGGCAGCTGTCAGGGTCGCCTCCATCCCAACGCAACTTTCTGCTCCTTTTGTCAAAGGAATCGACGGTGCGGCGATTATAAAACCAACCAGTGCTGTCTGGATGGACTGGTTAAACAGCTAATGCCTTAACCAGACTAAAGCTCGGGATCAGATCAGGGGACTTTATTAGAGAAGGCCGTTCGCTCGAGACCCCACCCAACCGACACGGGAGACACATGGCATTAAAAATCCCTCCTCAAGCCCAAGATGCATGCCGAAAACATCACTAAATCAGACCGAGTGACCAATAAACACGTCTGCTCTAGGCTTGACCTACATTTCTGGCTGTTCCACTGAGGGAAACCCCAGACATGCAGGATTTAAAGACTAAAACTGGGGGAAATGACAGGGATAAGAGCTTCAAAGGTGGTGAGGGTGGCAACATGTTGCAGCAAGACCCAAAAACCAGGATGTCTTGTATTAGGATTAACATACAATGCCATGATCCTCATTTAAAAGCAAGATGATCAAACCTTGTTCTGTGCATCAGGCGGAAACAAAGCCACTGCAACATTTTTGACACGCAAATGCCTGAATGCATCTCCATCCCTCCTTTGAAAGTTACAAATGATATCATTTCTGGACACTCAAACGCACAAAAAAAAAAAAAAAAAAAGTTAGTTTGGATCACAAAGTCCTTTGGCCAGACGTGCAAACCTTCCACTGGCTGGTTGGACTAAATCCAATGCATCTGTTCCAACCCTAGTATCAGAAACCTTTTAAGGACAATGGAGTGTGTATTTTTGGGCCAGAGCTCGAGGTTACACACTGAACAGTCAGATGACTGGGATTAAACTGACAAAAATATAAGTAGCAGAGAAAAGCATCCATTTATGAAACCAAAGCAATGCACAATGCAAATCAACTTTAAAGCAAATCACCCAGTTTGAGAAGGCAGTGGCTGCCTGCCAGCCCCATTCCTTTATGCTGGTTTAAGTTTGGGCACCATCTACATCAAAACACCAGACATCACATCAAACTACATGCATACAATGAGCCTGGAGTGAATCTCGGGTCAGAATAAGGGTGGATGGGTCTTCCTGGCCAGGAGGAAGAGGATGATGACGGTGGTGGCAGACGGTCTGGGTTAATTCAGACCAAATGAAAACCTGAAATCAATCCAAATCCATTAAATCCTCACATTCAGGCTGATAAGCTTCATTTGCATGCATGTATTGGAGGAGGAATCCATCCATCAGGCCACCACCATCATCATCATCATCATCACCTCCAGCTCTTCTTTTGTCTCGCTTCTGATCGCAACAAACCCCTTTAAATGCATTTACCTGGAGCTGTTTTTGGCACCAGGCTCCATGCCTTGGAAGTTGGTCGTCGTAGTCATGTTGAGCGGGTAATGTGCTCGCTAAACCGCGTTAGAAAGGCTTCAGCTGGACTGAATTCGCCTAAAGTCCTTTATCCCGCATGGACTCCACCCGGACCAGCTGAAATCCGAGCGCAGCGGAGCGGCCCTTTAGACCAGCCCACGAAGCCCCGCCCACCGGAGCGACGCGCCCCCTGATTGGACGGAGGACAGCGGACCCTGGCGTTTGATTGGAGGATTGGCCGTCATTCAATAGCCTTCATCGGTTTACGTGATGTGGTTTACTGCAAAATCATCCATAGGATATTGACTAAAACGTGTTTATGCGAATATAGTACTTGTTTTTTTCATTCTAGTATTTCAAAATACCCTAAAGTTCCTTAGAGTTAATAAACCAAAACACCTATATTAATATTATAGTCATTTTACTTTAATGATTATAATTATGTAAAATTATATATAACGATAATAATTCACTTAATTTAAGAATAATTGCTAAAATTATGCAAATTAAAAAAAAAGTTTAGAATGCCAAAACAATATGTGACACAGGACCACAAAACCAGTCATAAGCTGAATAAATAAGCTTTCCATTGATGTATGGTTTGTTAGGATAGGATCATATTTGGCCGAGATTTGAAAACCTGGAATCTGAGGAGGCAAAAAATCTAAATATTGAGAAAATCGCCTTTAAAGTTGTCCAAATTAAGTTCTTAGCAATGCATATTACTAATCAAAAATTTAGTTTTGATATATTTATGGTAGGAAATTTACAAAATATATTCATGGAACATGATCTTTACTTAATATCCTAATGATTTTTGGCATAAAAGAAAAAAATAATTTTGACCCATACAATGTATTGTTGGCTATTGCTACAAATATACCCCAGCGACTTAACACTGCTTTTGTGCTCCAGGGTCACAAATGTGAACTATAATATATTTTTAATTGAGTTTGATAAAAAGAGAATATTTTATTTTAACAAGAGATTAGACAATACAGACAGATGCTTGACTTGTCTGAAACATGAATTCCCTCGTTCGTACTCAAGTCAAAACATGTTTAACACAAGTTACGCACTATACATGACCACTAAAATAAAATAAAAAAAAGTTGTAAAACCAATTTGTCTGAATGGAAAACAGAAAATCAATCTGAACTGCAGGTTTGTCTGCTTAAAGTATAGTAGAGCAGAACATTTCTTTATTATTTCTTGAAACGCAATTTCGAAAAAGCCTGTGTGGTCATATTCGAACCAGAACAAAACCCTGAACTCAAACACATGGCTCTTTATCCTCAATGATTCTTAAGGGGATACATGTATTAGTTGGTCTGACTCTGTACACAGATGACTGTCTCCATGATGGTCTAGCGATCAATCGTTCAAAGACTCGGGCTTAACATGTCAGATTTTACAGCAATTAACAATCCCAATGTAATAATTACTGTAGCAGAAACCCTTTATGTACAAAACGAAAGTAAAACATGATGAACTGAAAACACTATACAACAGCAGTTACAGATAACCATGAGGAGAGAGGTCTGTGAGAACCAGGAACAGAGAGAGAGAGAGGCGGAGAGAGACGGGTCGGGGTCGCGAGAGTCGTCCGATTCAGATGTGTCCTCCTGTCTGTTGCTGGAAAACGTCAATTGTGTCTTCATCCTCCATTTCCAACTGCAGAAGAACAACATGAGGTCATTTATTATTCACTATTATTAATAAACACAAGCGATGTGAGGTCAGTAGAGAGTCACATGAGCTGACCTCTTTCAGAATTCCCAAGACTTCCTGTTCACTGTGAAATTGACACCTATCTGCTGTAATTACATTTCACTCCTATCCCATGATGCAGCTGCACAATGATGCTGTCAAGCCAGATTTATTCAGTGGGTGAGATGCAGTCTATTATGTTTGAAAAAAAAATTGTTTTCTTGCCTTAATGTTCATCTGAGAGCACACATGATGCCTGTTCTTTCTAAATCAAACAACAAAAGCTTTAAAGTCAACATGAAATGCATTTAACTTCCAATCTGAGAAAATAAGAGCAGGACTTTATCCACCAGCATTTGACTGGATAATAAAAAGTGGCCTATGATATGATTGGTTAATTTTCCTCATTTTTCAATGATAATACGAACTGGATTCTGATGATTATATTATACAAATTTCATACTGTAATAAACGTTAAAAGTTAAAATAATTAGCTTTTTTTTTTTAAATGGCCATAAATGAAAAATTAAATGATCATAAATTAGGCCGTACAAGAAACACTATTCTAATATTCTACAAATTAAAATAAATTAAATAAATAAATAAATTTAGTCATTTAGCAGACGCTTTTATCCAAAGCGACTTACAAATGAGGACAATAAAAGCAGTCAAAACTAACAAAAGAGCAACAATATATAAGTGCAAATGACAAGTCTCGGTTAGCCTAACACAGTCAGTGTAGCAAGGTGTGTGTGTGTATATATATATATATAAATACATACATACACACACACACACACACACACA